CCAGCCTCGAATTTATTTTCATTGTCGTATATTTATGGATATGAAGGTTTTTGTTAATTATTACTGCTTTCATATTGATTTTGTAAGATTTCATTATACATATATGTACATATTGGACTTTTTAAAAATCATAAAAAAATGTAATTAGTTTTGGTCTGTAGCTAAGGTAGTACCTACAAAACTTATTTGTATGGGGACTAATTATTATTCAACCAATAAATAAATTGTACCTTTACTTAATTCATTGCTTCCTTTTTTCAGTTTTCTTTTCCAATTTTTTCGCAGAGCCTTATTAAGTAGCAATTACTTTATCAGTATCTTATAGAACATTTGTGTATCATATATCGAGGTGTCAAGACCATTAAAGTATTAGCTTATCCATTGAGTGACCCAAAAAATGTAAACTACATATGTATATAACATCATTATTGGAATTATGATATTAAATTAATAAAACCGTAAAAAACTCATATTGTTCGTGCCTGCTAAAATAAAATAGCAATGTCACATTCTCGCAATCCGACGCGCCTTGCTATTTATAATGCAAATGATGCTACAAAATAATTATAACTTACAAAGCCTTATTGTATTTCTAAGAAAAAAATATTGTTTGATTTTTACGTTAAATTATAAACTTGATTACACTCAGAAGTAAGTTTCAGAATTTATAGATGACATATTATAATGAATCTATACGTAATTATTTAGATAGCAAATGTTCGTTGAATCCATTCGTAATTTAGTGGCATACGGTGAAGAGATTTATGATCGGTCTGACTGCATGGACATAGTTACGAGGCAGGAAGCAGTTAGACAAGCCCACGAAACGGCGAAATGTTTGAATGTACCTAAAGCTCGGTTAATAAGGTGTAGTTGTACTGTCAGCGGTCGTATACATATTTTTCATAGATATTATAAAACCTACCAAGTAGAAAACGTAGTATAGAATTAATTAAACCGAGTATGCCTTGGGAGATAGATAAATAAATAAATATGTTGGGACATTAACACACACCACCATCTAGTTCTAGTGTTATGGACACCAGATAGTTGATACATATCGTATATATATATATACACGGGACTCGAACCCGCGACCGCTGGCACAGCAAGCAGGGTTACTACAAACCGAGCCAAACGTGTCGTCAAATATACATGAAACAAGATACATTCTATTGTGGGCTTCTGTGCGCCTTTTAAAGGCCGAAAATTTTCTTGTACATTGTATTTTTATATATATTGTGTATCTTTTAAGGTTTATTCAGCGTTAGCCATATAAGCGTACGGTAATACTTTTTTTTATCAAAACTTCGTCATACTTTAGCCATTTTGTACAAAATATTTACAAATGATATACACAACATTTCCTCATTTATCATTCTTTCTATTAGTGAAAATCGTATCAAAATCCGTTGCATGATTAAAAAGAAGTAAGCGGAGGTTTCTCGTGAAAATTATCTCTTATTTAGCCGCATAAAATTTAACACGTTAAACATGTTAACTTTAAACCCTGCTATTTTTGTATGAAGGACAACTCAGCCGAAGATTTATTATATTTTCCGTGAGAATGAGAGATTTCATTGTAGTATAAGGTATTGTAAATATTGCCTAAAGTTATAAGTTATCATCACATAAAATTTTTGTTAAATTCAATACAGTACTTTTGCGTGAAATACTCACAGATAAATAGATAAGATTTTCAACAAATCTTGTTTTGGAGTCCATATTTTGTAGACAATACATAACAGTCATCATTTTTTCATGTTGGTACAGATTTAAAATTAAATTTGTTAATTCATAATTTTAATACTACGTCTCAGCGTTGATAGAAAAGTAAGGTGACATATACTTCATTCTTCATTTAGCAGAACAGATTGAATGGAAAGAATGATACAAATAATTATCATCCTGTGCAAGCTCATATCATTTCCGGTTATTACGACATTATCATTATATTATAAATTATACTCTTAGGTAATCAAGTGTAATATCCACATTCATATTAACACTGGAATGTTAAAAATCTAAATAAGTTTTTTTTAATTAATGAATATTATGTAAGAAGTCTACGCTAGCACTAACACCGCTGCAGGTCCGGGGCGGCCCCGCCTATGATCCCGCACCATTAATCTGCTGTCGGCCTGTCCTTTGCACGTCCACTGTGTTTAAACTACACAAACCATCGGCGAATCTGCCTTTTTGTTATTTACTCTTTATGTGCTAGAAATCCGCCATTTGCTGTGTACCAAGAGATTATGAAAATGTCCAATACAACATATGAATATGAACAACTGAATACCTCTGAAATAAGGGCAAAGTTATATTAAACGGTTCTGTCTATCCGTACATCTGTCACAAAGTTTATATCTTTCAATTAAAACCCTTTAAACTTTTAAAATTAATTTAAATACTGGCGACTGATAACTGTCAGTGTTCAATTTAGGCCTTAACTAAATATGAGCGTAGTTTCGAAGGGATGTTCGTAAAATGGAAAACTTTATTAAATGTTTAGATTCAGATAATTTATTAGACAAGTAAAAGGTAACTTGACTAATTAAATATAGTTTACAAATTTTAATCATTACCTATGCACCGACTATCTTCAATCTGGTTAATATTACTCAGTGTAGATAATTGAACACGCTACCTCTATCTCAATATGGATGACTGACATGCATTGTGGCATATTCGCCTTGAGCATCTTCGTTTCATCTTAAATAAAACTAAAGTAACTAATTTACTTTTAATGTTGTTAAGAGTGTGGTTAGTAATAACAAGAAAGAACGCCATCTTGTGTAAAATGTGGAAATTATCTTCAAATGCTTTACGTCATGAACTTTTAATAACACAATTTAGCTTTTAGCTTTATTCAGAAGGGGACATTTTTTATTTAAACCACAGATGACATGAATATTATGAATACTATTAAACAACTTTATTTACAAAATGCTTTAGGTACCTACGTACGTATTTATTCGACCGTTTGTGATTGTTTGTGATTATTTTTATATATTGTCTTTCTCTCCTGATACTTTCTGTATATTGTTTTGGTTTGAAATAAGAATGTTCCTATCGTAGATATTATTATCGTGTGTGTGGACCATTACTCATTAGGTAGGTATCATATGGCATGTCTTATTTAAATCGGTTCCATTGGTAAAATACTAAACTAAAATAAACAGTGACTTGGGACTTTTAATTTCATTGAACTAATAGTCCTGTAAAACATGATGGTTGCAGCATTTTAAAATTAAATTTATTAATAACTTTTATTAAAAAAATAGCCATTTCAAAATAACTTTAAGAGTAATTCATTTGGAATAGTTGTAAATTGTCTCTTAAATGAGACATAATAATATTTTGATTATATTTTGATTTTCAAAATGATATCATTTCTCGATTCTCAGCCGCTTATTACTAATTATTTAATGTTGTGTAGAGAAAAGAATTTTTCTTTACTTTCTATGTATCCTCCTCTCTTTTTAAGTCAAATAATAATGTGAAAATAATAGAAAAGGATATTTTCGTTAACTTCGCAAAAATCTAACTTTTTTAAATACTTCTTCAATTATTGACAGAAAATATATGTTTTACAATCAAATGGTACAGTAGTTTTTTTTTTCAAAATATTTCGTCATCTTTCCCACTTTTACAACCGCTCACTAGAAAAAAAAATATCTGTGTTTTATGTCATTTATATTGATATTATTACATTTATCACAAAAAGTTATAATATCTTCATAATAATAGTAATTTTACAAATAAAATTTAGTTAATAATATTTTAGGAGATATATTTCCTCATAATAATCTATATAGATAAAAAAGTGCCTGTTTGTAATGTCAAAATCTACACTGTACACACCACAACTTCAAGCAACAGTAGTAGTATTGTTGATCAAAGAACCAGAAGGATAAATAAAACAAATATAATATTAAATTTAATCGTACGTTTGACATAAATTTTATTACTAAGTATTTATTTTTTGTGTAATTATTACTTTATGTCCATAAATCACATCTTTAAACGTTAATGGTAATTTAAGTAAATAACATTTAAAATAAAAATATTTCTAGCATATCTTATATCACAGTCGAAGATAATTATTGCCATAATATTCAGCCCTTTTTAACTTTCCACTATTAGGCACGAACCTCCCTTTAATACGAGGGGGGTCAGTCCATACTCCAAAGTCCACCATGCTGGCTAAGGGTGAGTTGGCGGACTTCACATGTCTTTCGAAAACTTGAAGTTCTCAAACATGCAGGTTTCATCTCGATATTTTCCATCCCCGTAAGACTAGTGGTAACCATATTGGAAATGATTCGCACCTGAAAATATCAAAGGTGCGAGACTCAGGATTTTAACACGCTTCACTCAGTTACTCAAGCGAGCGCGCTACTGGGCTAGTGTCTTATTATTACCATACATAAAATTGACTAAATTCGCTAGGTTATACGATTTGGTTATAAGGTTCGAGTCTCGGGTTAGTATGAAGAGCAAATGAGGTTTTCTATCAAGAAATTCTAAGTAGTAACTAGGAAGTTGGACAGTTGTTTTACACCCACTTTGAGAGCACGTCGTCGTTGGCAACGTCTGATATCCTTCCGGCCTACCGAATTGGTGTCTCATCGGGCTATAAAATAAATAAATGCATATCTTGGGACATATAAAAATAAAGGAATAGGGTTCACTGGCGCATACATATACTGTTGTACATATTTCAGGAAATCATTATAATGAAAACAACCAAAATTAACTTTATTTTAAATATAGATTTTTGAGTACTTAAATTTACTGACTTAATGTTAAATAAATTGCCATTTTTTCACCTTCTACCTATTTTTTGTACAATATTGTCATTAATAACATACTTAATTACATTTTTCTAATATTTCAACAATATTTTATAGCAGCGCTAATATAAAATATCTTTATTTTACTCATCATATTAAAAAGATACTTGACCTTAGTTTTAAAAACTCTATGTAAATATGTCAGCTAGACCACCAAGTCCTAAAATCGAATGGATTAAACACTTTAACTTGTCGTAAAGATTCCTGAGACGTATACTGCGATCTATGTTGCGACTTATATAGGAACATTCCTCTAACATTACTACTACAACCATAACCAACCATGGTTTCATTACCAGTACAGCGTCCGCTGCTTAGTTCGTTCCAACTTTTACACCTACGACCCATCAACGAGCGTTCATTTGCCACAGAAGCTGAAAAAAGCTTCCAAGACTGAGCGTGATCACATTCTAAGCTTATCGTTCGCTCCCTACATTCTGGCTGAGGAGCCAATACACCATTTACATACACGTCAGCATGACCTAAAGGTTGTTCCAGTCCCAAGACACCTGCACTTGTGTGTATAACTTGTACAAATTTTGCATCTCGCTTATCAAGTCTATATTTCGAAAGTTTGGTAAAACAAGGTCTTGCAGGATCTAATGCTGTTATCTTTCCTATTTTTCGATTCAATTTGCTTTGTACCAACTTGCCCACCATCCCAGCGACATGAGCTCCTAGACTAAACCCAACAAAATGTACGGAGGACATTGGATAACCATCCGCATGCAAATTCTTAATAAATTTGAATACTTTTTGGGACACACCACTGACACGAGACGCGGAGGCCACGTATCCGCGGCAGAACGTATCACGAGTATCTAAAATAAGTATAAGAGAATTTTTCAGTAGCAAAGCTTTGGATAATGTTTGCGCAGATTCATCCGTGGGCGTGTTCCACCATCCCGGGATATAAATAACCAACACATAAGGAAGTCGGTCTCGAAGGTTTATATGAGCTTTGCTTAACTTGTAAGTTCTTTTGCCGTCATGATAGTATTCCACCACGTCCACGTCTGGTGTGGAAGGCCAGTTGAATAGCACCTCTAGAGGCAATGCGTCACCTGCAAATTAAAAAAATATATATTGAAATTTGGCAAAGAAGTAGGTATATTCTACCTGTTTTAAAATACAATTAAGCATGTCGTGCACGGTATATACAATTTAATTCTTTTAACAAACTAAATAAACAGAGATCTTTTCGGTGTAACCCGATAGCGTGTTTTAAACTTAATAAGCATTAAAAATTTGTATAATTGTAAAATTGTGCTTTGCCGTGATGTTAATATTATGTTTGTTTCGTGTCATAAACCATTTTAACTTAAATATTACAAATAAATTAAAAGTGAATTCATGTACTAAACTAATTGCAACCTCTTTCCATGGATGAAAAGAAAAAAAATACTTAGCAAATATATTACCTGTATACTTTGTACTTTGTTCATTTGCATATATATTATATTATACGCTGTAAGTTTTTTTTTAATATGTAAAACTACGAAAAATTAAAAACCTGTATGGATATTACGATTTTAAATTATTTTACGTAAGAAATATGACATAGTAAATTACATCTCCTTAATGAAGGTTCTAAAATTTTCTCAATTGTTTTGACAAAGTTGGCGAGTCTAATTTCATTCAATTGTATAAATTTCCTTAAATAAGGCATTGTTGAAAATTATAACTGTAGTCATAATTTAAGCCCTACACAGTTTGCCCAAACTTTAAAAGTCGAATAAAAAAAGAAAGGAATTTAATTAATGTCCTATTTTAAAATTCCCATTTTAATTTAAATATTAAAATCTGCATTTTATTCTCTATCCGAATCACGGAAATCCTAAAAAGGCAAAATAATATAAACGGATAATTTCAATACTTTTTAACATTTAATCAACTTTCAAAATGGAAGTTCTAGATTCTCTAGAACTCTATTGTAGACGAAAGTAAGGTTAAAACACAGATTTAAAGACCCATTACCGCAACTCACTTCACTTGATTTGCGCCGAGAGCACAGAGATCAATTATTTCTGTTTAAAGTCATCAATAACTATGTACCCCCTATCTTCTTAGTCGCATTTCTTTTAAATGTTCTAGGTTGGGTGCTCGCTCTCACGATATTTTTTCAATACCTTTCTGTAGAACTAACTATTCGGGTTATTTTCTCAAAATTTGTACATAGCATTATTGCTATGTCCCAAGACTTCAAACATATTTATTTATTTATTTATTTATACATACTTATACGAACCTATTGGTGATTAATAGGTTTTATAGTGTATTTTATACGAGAATTCTCGTAATAGATTTTTGGTCAGATCATGCAGAACACACAATAACCGTTATTCTCATATTGATATTATTAATAATAAATTAAGACAGTTGAGGTAAAAAGTTAAAGTGTAGAATAACTGTTCTATTCATTTGAATTTGCTTTATTCTTTTTAAGTACCTATAATTATGTTTTATTATGTGTTAGGTTAGAAGTGCATGCTTTATTTCTCATTTTATTTTAATCTGATTATTTGGGTTATTTTATTTATTTATTATAAAGGCTTGCTAACTAAATTTACATAAAACATTTATTTAACATTATAATTTTACCTATTTGTATATAAATTTAATTTAAAAGTATGCACAGCTTTTTATAGAAGTATTCCATTAAAATTTTATGTGCTTAAGAGTATATACAATAAACAAAAGAAGAAAAAAAATCTAATCTAAATATTTAAATACACTTTCTTTTTAAATAAATTTAAACTATCAGAAAAAATGTCTATATCACATTGCTGTAATATAAAATTATATAATTTAAAGCTTCGTAAGATTGGTGAATTAGAAACGATTTTCTTTAATTTTATACTGGATTAGAGTTTCTTTTTTGTTTTTATTTATTTTTACTATATAAGTAAGTAACATTTCTTGAATCTAACTTTGCATTGTGTTTCGTTTTTACTTGTGAAAACTGTTTTGGCTAATATATATGTTAAAATTCTATTAATATGTAATATAAAAGCTGTATGTTTTCCTGAATAAACAAATAAATAAATAAATGTTTGTCTCTTAGATTATTATTAAATAATCTAAGGTATGTCTTTGTATAGTAGTTTTATCCACTGGTAACGTGATCTCTTGAAAAAGGAAGTAAAACGGGAACTCGTACACTATAATTTTTGTGATTGGAGCCTTAGAACCATCTGCATCAGTCCGTTTTTAAAATTGTTTTTCTTTTTATAGTCTATTTTATATTAATTAGCTTGGTAGAAGAGAGCATTTATACATAAAATATTGGAGTGAAAAGTATGTCTTTATGTACTTCTCATCGGAAATATGCACTAATCTCATAAAACAAAGTGTACTCATCATCGTTTATCTTTATAAGCTGTTAACATGAATTCAAATGTTCGTGTCCCTGTGATCGCGTGAGATGCGCGAGCGCAGTGTCGCAAAAACTACTATAATCTATACTGAACCTTACAACATAGCTACGAGATATCTCAGCAATCATTGTGAACCTTCGTATTTTTTTGTAATCTAAGCAGTAAGCTGTTGGTCGAATTTGCATATAATTTAAGTAAATATTTAAGTTAGTGGTATGTTACTTCAAATTAGAGGTCATTGTTATGGTAGATAATAATGGGATATTTTTAAGTGTTTCTATATTTTGAAAATTAACTTCGAGAATTAACTAATATATTAAATAACCCTTTTCCTGAGTAACTTTAAATTGTATCGAGATATCGTGATACGTGTTGAGTCCATATTTCTATCATCCGTTTTAATTAGTATGAAATAGGCCTAAACAATTTACATATTTATTAATAGTAATATACTTATTATAAATATTGCGTTATTATACATTCAATGATGTTTCTCCTGTAATGTCAACCAAGAATACGGAATGCTTGATGCTTTTTGACTGAATTCAAAAAAAGAGGTTTCAATAAATATGTATATATTTTTATGTATAAATTACTGCCGATTTTCATCATTCTTTTTTTAAAATAGTTCTAGTAAAATAATAGTTAATTAGATCTCGAAAAATAATATTTTTAGATCAAAAATAATATTTTACATATTCAAAATAATTTATACATTGATTGTTTAAATTATAATGCAATATATGAGAAACGTGCAAATATTTATTATAGTTTAGTTCCTTCATCGACAGTACACGTAGAACTTAAGAATAAATAACAAAGCCTCATAACATTGACACACATAGTGAGACCTCTGACACGAGCGACATTCAAAAATATTGAAGCAGTTATTCAACTAAGCCCATGTGAGGTCACAATCGTATACGATTATTTTTAGAATTATATTTAATTATTTATATTATAATAATCCCCATACCTTATATTCAATGGATAATGATTTGTCTAATCTATAGGTACATATAATAAAATTCTGAATCGAATCTGTACATTAAGTATTTTTTGGAAAATCTTATTGAAATAGTCATTATTATCGATACAGAGGCCGAATCTATAGTTTTTAGAATTTTTGTATGTCTGTCTGGGAGCGCAATAGGAGAAAACCACTGAAGAGATTTTGATGAAATTTTGGTATGATGATAGCTTGTTATGCGGGTCAACATACAGGATACTTTTTACTGCGGGAAAATATCTCATCTCTGAGAAATCCATATTAAACGTTCAAACGTAACTAGCGACGAACCCGAGCGGAGCAAAGGTGAGTCGCTAGTTATAAAGTAAAAGTCAGTAATTTTGTTTCCTCATTTATCATAAAAATAACGCATTGATTACCATCACAGTATAGAAATTACTTGCACCCTTTAGTTTATCATATTTATATTTAAAATCTCTATCAAGTCCTGTTTAAAATCGCATAAAGCTCTACAATCTACACAATGAAAATTTCAATTACATTAGCTTAAAATTAAAGCTCAATATTAATTTATATATAAATTTATTTAAATAAATTCAAAATTTTAACCACTATTTTGACTAGAGTTTGGATAGAACGACCACATAAACCGCATTACTGCGCATTCGTTATACGATGAAAAGTTTGTAAATTACCACGTAAAAAATAATATTAACGTGGACAGTGAAATTTTAACAAAACAATCATATTCTAAATATTATTTTTAATACGTATTAATTAAAATAAGCTTCTAATAAAGTATAACGTATGGGATTTCTCAAAATGAATTAATAAACGCAAACTCGAAGCCCTTGAAAAATCATGGTTTTATCATTTTCATCAGCTTGATGATTTTTTTTATGTATAGATATTTAATTTACAATAAAGAAAATTACAAATATTCTTAATTATATATACAAAACAAATGTACACTTAGTTATTACTGTACAAAACATGACCGCGTGGAATAGTGGCAAGAATGCTAGCCGCATTCCCCCGTTGAATGGCAATGCCGATTGGGCGAAAAATGCGCCAGCCCTCTTGTCGCCAGTAGAGGCGATAAGACGAGGTGTTATGTCTTTTAAAAAGAGCTTAGCACTTTGACTCCATGGGCCGAGGGTTTCTACAGCAAATGGAATAAAAACATAATTTTGACTAAGGGAGGTGTATTTACGCAACTTAAGTAGTTCAGCCTTCTCCGCGGCAGCTCCCACTTTAGACGCGGTCTCCCTGACATCGGACGGGGCCAATGTGTCAACGCATGTAGCGTCCCATAATAGGGCCCGTCTCCTTTCCCAAGGAACCAGCGACAGGCCATCAGGTCTCTTACCATCATCTCGACTTATTCCAGATGGCTCAATAAGAGCAGGAATGTCAATCGTGGCAAGAGCCCTTTTGATGGTATCGTTTAGGGAACCGTGACGGAAAAGTCTGCCTGAACTTCTTTTGCAAGAGAGTCCATGGAGTCCATAACAGTCAACCTCTTTTCCACACGGGCATCTGTGCTCGGTGCACAGCGGTGTACCCAGTCGGAGACCTAAAGCGATACGAAAACTATCATTATCCAAAAGTGTACCAAGATTACTTGAATTAATGATATTAAATTATTATCTATACAAAAAATAAAATAGAAATATCTGTTTCTACCTAATTCAAAAATAACAGCTTTTTACTAAATGCATATGAAACTATATACGGTACTTTTAAGAAAAACACAATTTTTTAAATTATCGTCAGTCTGTCCGTCTGTCTGTCTGTTTGTCCCAGCTAATCTCCGAAATGGCTGGACTGATTTCCCGACAGGACTTTCACTTTCAGATAGCTGATGTTATAAAAAGTAACTTAGGCTGCTTTTATTTTAGAAAAATGATTCTTGTCCCGCTCAATACAAATCAGTATTTCTTTTTTTTTTGGAAGAAAAAGTATCCTATACTGTATGTATCATTGTTATTTATCAAAATTTAGTTAGATTCTATTCAGTAGTAAAACTATAGTAAGGATTAAATTAACATACAGATCGACTACAAAGAGCCAATCAATTTTGTATTGACGCCTATTTCCGTAATAAAGACTAGTAAAAAATACCTTATATTCAAACATGACCTCCATATGATTTATTTATAAACATTAATATATATATATATATATATATATATATATATATATATATATACGAATAAAATCGCATAAATTTTTATATATCTACTATACTTTTAATATAAAGTATTGAAAATCTATAAATACGATATATTTTATGAATAAAACTATCTTTTCGGATTTTTTTCGCGGATTTATTAGGATTTTTGGTTCCCGACATTTCGAATGCTTTACAGCAATCATGATCGTGGGAGGGACTTTGTATATGTAGCAATATAATCTATGGGAGAGACTGAGGTGTTAGATGTCTCGAAGGTATAGTTGTTACAGACAGCCTACCCACAATTAACAAAATGAAAATTGCACCAATTACTTTACAATTTTTTTTTTAACTTAAAACATTTTTATAATTTTAATTAGTTTTATAATTATTATAATTATTATTATAATTATAAATATAATATAACTATTATTATTATAATTATTACAATTTTAAAAATATTAATTTGTAATCTATATTTAGTGTTGCCATTATTATGTTTATAACCATAAAGAAAAAATGTAAAATATAATATTAATTATTCAAGCCACTTAATTGTTCTATGTGTAATTTAAAAAGTTAAAATTAATTAAGAATAATAATTTTAATTTAGTTTGCTATTATTTAAAAACACAATTTACTAAGCAACACTATTACTATATACTTTTACAAATGAAAAATGAAGAATATTAATCTGAAATGCTGTCATTTTGATCCACACAGTAAGAACTTACTACATCTACCTGTCTGTTATGTTTAGATTTATTATTTGATTTTATTATATTAATAACAGGATCCCATGACGATGGTAGTAACCAGCTATCTTCCCTATTGAAATTTGGATGTTTTTTTAATTTCTATGGCTTCTCGAATCCCATCATGGGGACCCTGCCGGCCGTCAACAGGCAGAGGACTGTGAGACTCCTACTCACTAAAACCCACAGCGGAACCTGTCGCCGTAGTGCAATGGAGCGTAGCAGGATCGCTTACGCACACATTACAACACCGCTACGGTAGCCTATGTGTCACTCCAGTTCATAATTTATCTGTATACTAAATTTTATCCAAACCCGTTTAGTTGTTTCAACGTGAAGAATTCACAAACAAAATAATAATAATAACAATCTGACGACGATACGACCGATTTCGGCCACAGCGGCCAGTCTCATTGAGACTAGCCGCGCAGAAGATATTATAGTGCAGCGCGTGTACGCGCAGACACAAGTGCACTCTCTATTCCTGTCACTCTCATACTCCGGTGGGACGACTGCTCGACAGGACCAGTGAGAGTCAAGACGCAGGACCGACGGCTTTACGTGCTCTCCGAGGCACGAACAAATACAAACAAACATACAAACATTTACATTAATAACTGAAGTCCGATTGTAATTAAGCCTTTAAAAATAATTGACGTCTTTGTTTTACATATTATGATTTAAAAGCGGAAAACCGTAATGGCTGTATTTATTGCCTTTGTTAATGTCAAATACAGGAAGTAAAATACCCGTCTCTGTTTACTAACACTTAGCAATAATCGACTACTTCTTCGAATTAATGATAAACTGTTCATTTAGATCAAAACCTAACCAATGGTTAGCAATGAAAGATTGATTTAACAGCTTATTAATACAGAAATTGAAATTATAATAAAGTAACAAATAGCTTATTTGACTTTAGGGATAAATAAAAGAATAAAAATCGGTCAAGTGTGAGGCGATTTCGCACACGAAGGGTTCCGGACCATCGTACATGTACTTTTTTATAATTTTACTTTTACTCTATGTACCTATATAATATAATATTAACTTCGATGATCAATTACGATGTTAAAAATGTTTCTTGTATTTTAATTTTTTTAATTTATTTTTACTATTTATTGTTATAGCGGCAATATATAATATAAATACATACTCAGTGATAATTTCAACTCTCTTCCTATTACGGTTCATGAGAAAAAGCCCTCGGACAGACAGACGGATGGGCGGACAGCGGAGGCTTAGTAATGGGGTTCCGTTGACCCTTCGGGTACGGAATCCTAAAAATGATCGACAACAGTATCACATAACACATATGTGCCTATATAAAATGTCAATTTAATTAGTTCATTGCACATTTCTCACTAGCATGTGTATTAATAAGTTTAAAGTTTTTATCATTATTATCTTTAAAGTACTCATAAAATTGGAATAAGTACATTTTCACATAACTCTAATAATAATTAATTTTTATAGTACTCGGGTGTTGTTTGAATAGTATTCAAAAATAAACAAACTCGACTCATTTAATCATCATTTTCCTAGAACAAACAAATGCACTTAATTTAATAGATATTCTGTTAAGTATCTTCGTACTATTACTTTACCAAATGATTAACATTAATATAACGCTTTACTTTATATATAATCCTACTCAAAAACAAACCTACGATATCTACCGTATAAAACTAATCAGATACGCAACGACAACGTCACAACATTCGCACTGTAGTCGAGAATAACTACTTTATAGTAGAAATTATATTACAGAAGTTATAATTAATTTGAATGTTATCTTAATTATTTTAAATAAAACTATCTTTTCGGATTTTTCGCGAATTTTGGAACCAAAAAATTCAAATAAATTCGCGAAAAAGTCCGAAAACATAGTTTTATTTAAAATGTCAAATATTCGCGTAAATCTATAAAATTATTATGTTATATTAATTAAATAATTTTCTGTTTTATTTTTTAGACATTTAATACATACATGTTGCAGAAGCAGCTCGTACGAGATGATCAATGCCGGAGTTCAACGGTGGCAGCAAGGCTGTGACACTCGCCATTGCAAAGAAAGCTCCATATAATTGTAACTTGTTCATCACTTGAAGCTTATAGAACTAAACTAATTACAGATTAAAATTATTTATACAGGTACAGCCTTAGCATAATTAGCATTTTGATTTTTTCCTTTAAAATCACTTCACTTTTATAGTCCCATCATAATAATTATTTTTATAAGTTTTGATTGAAATATCAAAAATTATCACATTCAATTTTCACACTTTATTATTGTTTTTTTAATGTTATTGTTCGTACATCCTTAAAAATTTACGTCTAACTCCAAATGATACAAGTGCGGTAGTGTCTGTCGCTTCTCCGGTGGCATCACCGCTGCGCCGGCGCCGCCTCACCTACGTTTATAACCACTTCGACAGCCTTGATCATGAAACTAGTGATGGTCTAAAAACCTCAATTAAAAACTACCGTTATCGTTACAGATATTACAAATTTGGCGAAAGAGGTCCTTGTGTGGCATAAAAAACACATTGACATTTTTGAGTAGTATATAAAATGTTCCTAAAGTAGAAAAGATGAGTATAATAATACTTTCTTAGATTAACGCGAATATTTACGTCAAAACTTTATTTACCTTAAAACCATAGTCTCTCCAGTTTTGTGTTTGTTTTAAAGCATTTGAAATGTCGGGAACCTAAAATCAAAATAAAACTGCGAAAAAAACCGGAAATATAGTTTTATTTAAAATGAGTATAGTAATATATAATAATATGTGCTTTGAGAATTTTTTGGTAAAGTTGGTATATAATTTTATTAATTAAATATAAGGAAGTCGACTTCTTAATAAGACATAATTTAATCTCAGTTCATCTTTTTTTACAGTTCCGGATAACTTGAAGCAAATTAATTCTTAAATGCAAATTTTTTTCTTGTATAAGCGTCATAACAAAGCTTATAACAAAGATTTACACTTTGATTATGTAACCTAACCTTGTGGAGATAAAATCAAATTCAATAAATATTACTTGGCAGAAAGTAAAAAAATGAATGGTTTACAATACCTAAACGTTATATGGAAATTTAAAAAAATCCTATGAAGAGTTAAACAATTAGAAGTAGGTATAAAATAAAATTCTAATTTAATACTTTAAATTTCATGATTTATTCTGATTTTCTCGAAGACGGTATACTCAATGTCAAAGAAAATTTTATGGGGTCTATCTCGGGACAATACTGTTTAAAGTAGCATAATCAGTCAAGCGGTTTCCGAGAAATTGGTGAACACTGAACATGCATAAAAAACATATATACAAATGAACATGGAACCTCCTCCTGTTTGGAAGTCAGTTAAAAAATAACAGGTAGATTGATATTTAGAAGTAGCTCTAAGTAGAACTTTACGATTAATGGTTAAGGCAAAAGAGAAATTGCAAAGATTTATAGTCGTTGGCAATTATAAGTTATGACAGCCTTAAATAACTTTTTATACAAAGAAGGGCTAAATTTTGTAATCGTGGTTAGCGTCATTCATAGTATGAATAGTTTATAATTATAATATACTAGCGACTCATTCGTCCCTAGCTTGATTCCCCATTCAAATTTTCATCCCCATTTTCACCCCTTAAGGGATGATTTCCGGGATAAAAAGTATCTTCTTACCAAATTTCATCTAAATCGGCTCAGTACATCCAGAGACTGCCCCCTACAACGTCACAAACTCACAAACTTTACCTCTTTATAATATTAGTATAGACTAACTTTTGCTCACGGCTCCGTGTGCATAGTTTTTTAAAAATTGCTTCACTCCTTAAGGTCATTGCATACCTTCATAAATAAATCAATACAATATTTTAAAGAGGTAAAGTTTGTTGTATGTAAGGGATAATCTCTGAAACTCTGTAATTCAGAAAATCGTTTCACTAATAGGATGCTACATTTTTTATTACGATAAAAATGTGTTTACTGTTAGAAGTTATAATTGAAGTATGTTCAAACAAACATAAAACAATCTCATCAATTTCATATTATTAAAACATAGATTACTTTTACATACATAATCATAGAAAAGTCCGCTCTTAAGAGCGTTGTTTAAACATTAAATTTGCGAAATAACTAAAGTGTAAAGGTAACTAACAATGTATCAACGCAATTAGTTTTGTTATTATTATGCAAAGGTCAAACTGCCTTCTCAGTGCACAATGTTTTTGTTATCGACGATAAAATACGCTTAGCCATGTGAATTGTATAAATTAACCTTATCTAATAAATGATTTAGAGGGAAATAAAAAATAATGTAGTATTTATACACGTATTATGTACGTAAGGACGGACGTGCTGAGTCTTAAAATAGTGTTTACGGATTGATCACGTCGTGTCGCGTTCGAATCAAAAAATTGGCCAGTCATGATGTTGTTACGTTCTATGAATTATGGAATCGGATATTGAAGTACGCCTTTTGCACTTTAGAAGTTTAGATGTTTTATTGCTTTTGGTCTCACAAAAGTCACGTATGGCGGTTCACAAACACACGCAGTACATGCACAGTTTTGGCTTAACTGAGTCTCCAAGCACTATTTTTCACCACTGGTTACCACTTTTCTTCACTTTTTCATGTTTGTTCTTAATTTCTCTGAGCTTCAAAATTCCACTGAACTCTGGACACACTGCCGCCCTTTTTGTATGCACACACAAAAAAATCAACTACACTCTTTTCTAGTTATTTCAAATCCTTTCTGAAAAATTTTTTTCGTCTCTATTAAATTCTGATGACTGCCTAACAAGTATGTATGAAAAGAATAACAATGAAAGATGCGAAAGACATACGTAAGTACTGATGGAGGTCATCTAATTGGTACCGTGTTATCTCTGCCTTTTTTTAACGTTGGGAAATGCATTTAGCAGCAGACCACCTGCGTGCGTACAGGTGGTTATGAGGGACTCACCAGCAAAGCCAGTACTACCCACTAAAACCCAACCGGACCTCCCCCGTCTTAATGGGCCGTCGGAGGACCATTTACGCATTCAACTACGACGACCCGGCGGCAGGTCTGCCAAAGCAGACCACAACAACCATGAGGTTGCTCCACAGTCCACTCTGCTATCAGAGAAGTGCCAGCATGGTACACCGCCCACCAAAGTGGGCCACTTCTCTGTGCCTTTCTCGGCTTCGCGCCCGGCTGTCTTGCCGGCACGGGTAGTAGACTCATGACGTTCAGTAAAAATTGTTATAATTTAATTTTTTTTAAGGGATCAACACGATCCAACTTATTTTAAAGATATTTTTAGAGTATATATAATTTCTAGTAAGGCTAGATATCTAGGCATCTACAACGTGGGGTCTCAGTCGTGACGTGCGGTCGCTGCGGTTATCTGAGGTGTGTAAACTATGATAAGAATGTACCACTGTTTGTGAATCTGTGAATTTGGCGTGACTTTATAAAACTATGGTATGCAATTTGCAAGTTTTTGCTATTTGATGTTATTATTAGCTTAATGGTCGTATATTACTGCTGCAAAGTGTGATAATATTGATAATAAATGTCACTAGAAGTTAAGTAGGTACGAAATAAATTCCATTCTTTTACGTCACCGTACCCATTGCTATGGTTTTTCTGTAAGGCGCTATTTGGTAATTAAATAGTATTATTTTTTTAATTAAAATAGTTCAACGAAGCATATTTCCATAGTGTCAGTCAATTAAAAATAAGTTAATATTTATTAAATTGAACCACTGGTACTGTGAGAATACCGTGGACTATAATATGTGTAGTATCAGTTCGCAGCTGGAATTCAATGGAAGCACTCTGTATAAAAGTACCGTTTACTATATATGTATACTTATATATACAATATTATACTTATATACTCTCACTCCGCTGAGGTATGTGCCTGGTAAGGAGGGCTGTATCTATGTATGAAAAAGCATCCGTCAAAAACAATTAAGATGGCGCTTTCGAAGAAAGAGTGTTAAAGAAAGTTCTTTAGAAGAGTTTCTAGAAGATTCTTTATGTTATAATTTTATTCTAGCAATATTGAGCAGTTTAAGTTTTGTATACCGTGGCTTCAATACTTTACATAACTTACACCTTCTCTATTTGTAATACTATGTATAGCTATCGCTACCTCTTGGCAAATTTTATTACTAATCCTATTAATATTATAAACGTGAAAGTTTGTAAGGATGGATGGATGTTTGTTACTCTTTCACACCAGAACTTCTGAACGGATGAAATTTGGCACAAAGATAGATTATAGTCTGGAATAGCGCATAAGTTACTTTTTATCCCGGAAAAATGTAAGGTTTCCGTGGGATAGATTTGCTTATTAGGTTAGGAACGAACCTGAAGCAAAGCTAGGGTGTGTCGCTAGTAACTTATAGTTTTCTTCAAGTCATACTCTAACTGTAATAAACTAAATCAAAGTGGTTTCAACATGAAGGAGTTAAACACACTCACACATGCAAACTTTTCCAAAAAAATTTCACTTATAATAATTTATACTATTTGCTTAAAATAATCCCATAAAAAAATCTAGAGTAAGAAAAATATCTTACCTATTAAGTACCTACTACCTAGTATTCATCACGTTATCAACCTTCTAAAAGACAATAATAGTAAATTTAAATACTATTTTATTTTTTAGTAAACTATTTTGGCCTTAGTCTTTGATAAGTATTTGATAAGTATTCAATTTACTGCAGTTTGTATGCGAGATATGACTGTATACATTTTTATTATTACGGTTGTTTTACTGAAATTACTTCCTTGTAACATTAAAGATACTAAACGACTGTAAATAAAGAACAAAAAAAGGGGAAAAGTAGTTGATACTTGATAGGTTAAATAAGTATAGCAATTATTCGTTTATTTAAACATAATATATAAACCAGCTTATTCTAGTAGCTTTTACCCGCGACTCCGATCGCATACTTTATTTACCTATGTATTCGCTCTTTAAAATCATACCATGATGTTAAATATAATCTTTCTCAGTGAATCCATACTTAATATTATAAATGTGAAAGTGTGTTTGTTTGTTTGTTTGTCCTTCTTTCACGTCGAAACGGAGTGACGGCGACGGATTGGCGTGATTTTTTGTGTGGAGATAGTTGGAGGGCTGGAGAGTGACATACTTTTTATCGTGGGAGATTATCTAATTCCCACGGGAAAACACGTTATAATACAATCCAAAAAGATTTTTATGATTACAATTACTTGAAACTTGGTATTAATGCTCTTCAATAAAATTAAATAAATACGTGTTTTAGCATTTTTCGAAATTCATCCTATAAGGAGGTAAAATAGGGGATGAAAGTTTGTATGAAATTACCTTTTTAGAGATTTTTTTGTAGATTTAGCGCGAGCGAAGCCGCGAATTCTGCTAGTAAGCTATAAAATTAAAAAAAACGCAAGTCGTCCTAATAGTTTCTGAGATGTATTCAGCCTTGTTCAACACCCCACTGCTGAGCACGGGCCTCCCTTCAATATGAGGGGGATCAGGCCATAGTCCACCACGCTGGCCAAGTGCGGGTTGGCGGACAAAAAAAGGAAAAGTTTCTGAGATGCGCTTAGCATTTAAACATATAAAATCAAACAATCTCTTAATATCTTTTCTTTTTCTTCTACGAGTATATAGTCGGTACCTACATTTTTGTACACCTTAGATTAGACAGAAAAAACTTATAACTCTATTATATTTAATACTTATTCCCTAGAAGTATATAACATTGAAACACGTCATTAAATACGATATTATTAATAATATTGGTCTGTACTTATGTAATATCAAAATAACGTTCAACAAAAACTAGATTGATTGTCGGTAATAGGTACCAGCTCATTTTCTATGCTATGAGATGAAGGATATTTCTACTTCAAAATGAGACTTAAATCTATCCTTTATTAATGCAATTAGTACAACAGTAGGTAAATAATATTTAAGTTAATACTACGCCGCCTTGAATATTACAGGATTTTTTTCTTCTAATCAATATAGACCAACTCTTTAACATATTCATTAAAAAAAGAATCACTGCTGACGAAGTCGGTCTAAAGTAATCTAAATTTGCCATGCTTTGGATGGCGGGAGAGGTCACCAATCACCATAGATTAACAACCGATCTATTCGTTAGGTAGGTACCTATTTGATATTTATATTATATGAATATTTATTATAGAAGGTCAAAACACTTCTCAGATCGTACATTGGCTTACCTCTTGACCGACTACAAAGAATGTTGTCAATTCATCTGTATTTTTTGTGTGTTTATTCGACAGTTATAGTGACTTGATTTTCATAATTTCTTTTTAACCCACCTCCACAATGGAGGAAGTTCTCAATTCGTCGGAATCTTTTTTTTTTGTATGTTCACCGATTACTCGAAGACGCCTGAACTGATTTGGATTTTTTTTTGTTTCAAAGGGTATGCTTACACAGGTATGGCACCGACGAAAATATCTCATTAGATATCTATTCTAAATGAAAACCCCCGGTTAGCTATTTTTTACATTTTTGTGCCTGGAAGTTGGTTTTTTTTAAGTTTTTATAAATTGAATAATTCATAATGTATCCGTTCAATTTGAGTTTGTGCGAGAAGTTATAAGAATTCAATTTACAAATTTTAATTCTAAAAAATCAAAGTAAAGTCAATGAATAATGATGTTTTGTACCTACACTTAAATTACACATCCTTAGAAAATGACCATAATCGAATTAAGAAAGGCTGCGCAGTTATTTGATGTAATCATTAGGTACCTTTAACTCGGTAAACGGTTCAATTCAGAAGTAAATACTCATAATAATATGTATGTTGTTTTTTATGGTGTGGTTCCTTTATTTGCTATAAAAAAAAATTAATGCTATGAAGCATACTTATACAAATTTATAGGTAAACTAATATTAATAAAAATCTCTAGATATCTATCTATCTAGATTTGAAAGTTTTATCCTAAGTATGCATCATTTTTCATAATTTTCATGAATATTGGGACTTTCCTAGAAACCGTACTAATTATCTTGGAATAATTAAATAGATAGAAATTTTGACCAATATTTGAATAAAACACGATTAGGAAATCTTTCATATAAAAATTATCATATAACTACTAAGTTAAACGGTACAGTGGAGATTTATTTGTTACAAAATTACGGGCATCGGCCCAACTGTTATTTTTATCAAGATCTAAGCATTTACATTTGAGTGGAGACCTTCACGGGGTACCATTTACCACCCTTAGGGGATGTGCGTGAGGTGATTACATAAAACAATAAGCGTTGTATATTAAATATTTGCATATAAATATTAAAATTTTAATACAGCGTTTAAAAATAGAGCAAGAAATAAAATTATGCTTAAAATAATAACGACTCGTTTGGCTCAGTTTGTAGTGACGCTACTTGCTGTGCCAGTAGTCGCGGGTTCGAGTCCTTCTGGGGGCATTCATTTGTGTGATGAATGACAATATTTGTTCTCCAGTCATGTGTGTTTATATTTATAATATGTTTGTATTTAAAAGTCATATATGTGTAGTGTATCAACAATCTGGAATCCATAACACAAACCTCGTAGCTTACCGCGGAACTAGATGGTGTGGTGTGCTAATGTCCCAACATTTTTATTTATTTATAATGATTAAATATATAAAAGTAAGTGCTAAAGAATGGACTACTTATGTTTTTTTTTAAATTTGTGTTAGTCAGATGATTTGAGATAGATTTATCACAACTGTTGAATAAACATACAAACAGAAAGTCTTATTACCTATAATAGTACGTAGGTAAATAAATTATGCTATTACAGATAGCATTGGCATAATAAGATAAATAACTTGGTTCATATCGCTTAGTTCTTTTCAAAATGTGTTCCAAGCTCCTACAGTGCATCTTACTGCTTCTTCCCATCATACCACAGGTCTGGTCTACGCCTGTAAGTCATTAAGCTAATTTAAATAATATTATATTCATAATTAAACAAAAATAAAAATTTATTGACATAAAAACAGTAAAAAAGTAACATAATAAATGAAAACTTAACTTAATCTATTATCAAGTAACTCATCTGATGCTGCGAGGATCGTAATTTCCACCTAATTTTCAGTAACATCTAGCTCCTTGAGACGTTGAGCGGGAGCAAAGCATCTTACACCAGGGCACTCTTTATTTCTCTATTTCATTCAATCTCAAACTCCGATACTTCGACACGACCGGTAAGAGTTAAGGCGCAGAACCGACGGCCTTACGTGCTCTCCAACGAACTTTCTTAACAGAATGACTCAATAACTAAACTTGGCGCTACCTGGGCCTCGAACCCAGAACCTCCGGATGTTTAGATGCTAGCAGCATGCTAGCCAATACGCCACCAAGACAGTCACAAGTATTTATTATATTATACATAGATATCAGTTCTACAAAACGACCATCCACCGTTGGCTGCGGAGATCAGCTCTCGCTTGTCGTCTCACGCAGGCCGCCTACAGGAGCCTAAGCTGGACTCGCGCTTACCGCTGCCCACTCCTCAAGATATTGAAACGATACGACGCATCGCTGAAGTTCTGGTCACACTTGGACAGCAGGTACTTGGATAGGGTAGGTTTTAATGTGAGATATACATTTGTATATTTGCATAGCTTTCAACCACGGCTCTACTCGCGTTTTATGACGAAATCAGATAGTCTGTACCTATCGTCTCTTTACTATATCTCATGAGAACTCTCTCTTCATAAAAATAAATAATAAATAATCTGTCACATAGAGACGAACGGAAAGGCTTCTCTAATTTACAGTTCTAATGGTTATCAAGAACTGTTACGTGTTATAGCCACTAACCAACTTATGTCATATATTAGATCTTACTTCTAACTGAAAATGAGAAAAATATAAAAAATGATTGGGTAAAACCTACTATAATATTGTCTCTCCCGTGACCATGATTGCTGTAAAGCATTCGAAACGTCGGGAATCAAAAATCAATATAAATTCGCGAAAAAATCCGAAAAGATAGTTTTATTTAAAATTATAATATTTTTGTCCAGGTACCTTACCTGACCTCAAAATATATTCCTCAGTAGGCAATATTATAATATATTATATAATAGTATTTAACAAATTCTAGGTGATACCCTCTATAATCGGCCCGAGCCCCGGCACCGGAGGATCGACTACAATGGCCACCGTTACAGAAATACCAAATGATATAGTTAATCTTAATTTGCAAAAATAAAATCTTGCCGTTATTATAACAAGATAATCAAATATATATTTTTTAATTTTAGAATCTTATATGAGTGGTTTTAGAAATTATTCATAATATCAGTATAGTTCGATGGTGATTTTTAACGAATCAACTTATGTATAATATTTTGTTTGGTTTTTAAGTAATATTTTTTTCTTTAGTTGTTAATTAATTTATTAATATATCTCATTTTGTTATTGTTTAAAGCGACTTTCGTTATGGTTAAATATGTAGAAATAAGTTACTATTATAAATGTACTTAATGATTACAAATAAAGTATTTCAAATGCACTGTTAATAATGATTTTCCAAGTAAAACTACTGCGCTTCAGCAATTCCTCCTTTACTTAATTACTTTTACAGAATACACTACAAAATGACTAAGTGACTATTTAAACACTATGTCCCCATCGTTGGGTGTAATGTGGCGCCATCTATCTTATACAAATAACACAATTTACCTCACGGTGGATGACAATACTTTTAAAATATTAATATTTAAAATACTCCTATCTGTATTAATTCTATTTTATATTATAATATCTGTATTAATATTATGAAATATAAAATTATAACTAACAAGATATAAAGAATCAATATGATCTATAAGTAATACCTAGTTATCAATTGGGATAATTATTAACAACAACTATAACAGTTATAGTTGTTGTTAAAAATTAGTTACTAACAGTACAATGTACATACTACAAATGTGTTATTTTACCTACTTACACCTCCTTTTTAATCCATGAACACATACTTATTAAGTACTTATAGCAAAAAAATAATTGTCGAAAATCGAACTTGGATCTTATAGATCATACATTATTGTGCATACATACCGCTATACTCCTATCGTAAATAAATAGCAATATATATATATATTTTTTCTACTAGCGACTCACCCTCGCACGGACCGACCGCGACGGACGGACAGATAGATAGACAGACAGACAAAATTTCTAAAAACTGTAGATTCGGTCTCTGTATCGATAATAATGACTATTTGAAAAAAAATATGTACAGATTCGACTCAGTTAGAATTTTATTATATGTATAGATTGCCCGGTCAGTCCATCAAAATAAACACTCCCAAAGATAATGTCACGGTCAAAACGTACCTAAGTCAAAGTAATTAAATAAATAACCGTCTTGTAATAATATTTCAAAATATTCGAATGTTAAACAAAATATTATAATTGCACATCTAATATTTGAACAAATATTGAATAGACAAAAGCTTAACGCTAAAGCAACGATTAAATGTTTTTGTCAACTTCTTTGATTTTACAAGGAGTACATAATTATTACAAATAACTAATATATTTTTTATTTATATTTTTCTTAGGAACTGAGAGATAATACATTAATGTACTATAATTTTAAAAAGAAACCCAAAGCTATATACATATAGTAAAATTGTAACTGAGCCGAATCTGTACATTAAATATTTTTTGGAAAATCTTATTGATATAGGCATTATTATCGATACACAGGCCGAATCTATAGTTTTTAGAATTTCGTCTGTCTGTCTGTGAGGGCACCACGGAAAACCACTGGAAGGCTTTTAATGAAATATGGTTGCTTGTTGTCCGTTGCTTGTTATCCGGGTCAACATATATGATACTTTTTACTGCGGGGAAATATTTCATCTCTGAGAAATCTATGCTAACCGTTATAACATATCTAGAGACGAACCCGAGCGGAGCGAGGGTGAGTCCTTAGTACCACTATAGAAATACTGTCAATTACATCCGTGCGCGAGTTTCTAGATGTTAGGTTTTTGTAAAGATTAAAATTATATATCATATTCTTAATGTGTTAAGTATTGTAGACATTAACTATACTTATAATAATTTTAAAGTAATCGATAGAAAAGTCGATAGTACGAAATAGAAAACCGAATGCTGGCCTACGTCTTGACATCGCTTCAATGGACTCTAATAAACCAATATTGAAAAGCTTAATCTATTAACCCTTTACACGTTAGTAAAATGTTTAATACCAACCTACCTATTATTCAATATGAACATTATTGTACATAACCTTCGAAAGTCCACGGGCATGTCAAATGCCGTAGAATGTCGACGCCCACGGTGTCCCCTTGACTCCGCTCTTGACTCTAATGAATGGATTGGTATTATTTTACTCACGATCTATCAATAGGTAACATATTATGTGTATATAATATATGGGTATTCATATTTCTATTGAAATGTTTTATGTTTTACATTGCACCTTCAAATACTATCAATTTAATGGCACTACGCTACAGAAATCGGTTACTGAGGTCTGGGTATTGCCTAGGATTCCAATAACTAACATTACTTATATGTGTATCAGTTCAGTTGAAATGTTCGCATATTCATGAAAGTAATTAATAGACAATGGCTTTTAAAAAAATCATTATATGCAAAAGGTAAAAAGAGAGGGTCCAAGAAATATGCGTGAAAGACTCTTTGCACTGTTGTTTAAATTCTCGTATTGTGAAATTGAGTAAAAACTCTTAAGTAAAAGCACTTGATGAATTTCTGCAGCCTAATAAAAAAGTCTTTAATTTTGTTCAATACATTTCCCATATCAGTTCTAATATTATAAATTTGAAAGTTTGTAAGGATGGATGTATGTTTCTTACTCTTTCACACCAAAATGGCTGAAGGGATCTGGATGAAATTTGGCACACAGATATATTATAGTCTGTAATAGCACATAGATTACTTTGTATCCCGGAAAATGTACGGTGCCTGTGGGATACATTTGTTTTTGTCTATGGACGAACCCGAAGCGAAGCGAGGGTGAGTCGCTAACAATTGATAAATACGTATACAAATATATTGAGAGTATGGAGTCTAGGACTCGAGTCGGACTCGCACAAAAACAACTAATTTAAATAGCAGAAACATATAATGATAGCCCAAATTTTATGTCTTTTTGAACATAATGAATTAGATTGAATGAAAAGGCTTAGGTAATAAATAACCTTCACGTCACAAAAACAGTTACATAAAGCTTGAATAATATTTAACAGTAATTTTACATCCTTTTCTCTAAAGAAATTCTTTGAGGAATTATATATTTAAAAAATCTAAGTCCCTAACTTCCCCAGTCGCCGGTAGTGGTGTAGCCAGCGCAGCGTGCAGTGGTAGAGCAACTCCAGCGCACTCACACCCGTAACTCCCACCACGAACACCCACTGACTGTTGACGTGTGCTGGAATATTGGACCTTAGGCTATACTTTATAGGACCACGATCAGAAAGAAAATTTGACTCGAATTATTCTAGTAGATGGTTATATGTGTCGATTTGTTGACGTTTATATAAATATGTAAATTCAAATCAATTTTCTTGTTAATGATTTCAAAGCGTGCTGTTGAGCACGGATTACTTCGCCAATGTCTGTTCGACTGGAGAAAACACAAAGGAGATTGGCACAAATATATTAAAACAACATCAGAAAGAAAATGAATTTCAATGCAGTCAATAGATGGCAATGAGATATAAAGAGATAATAAGAGAAGATACCTATTATTTCGAACCAGCGAAATGTCGTTTCCAACATATACAACTCTAGATCTCCTGTCGTATGGAATACTTGTACTATTGATGTATTCGTTAGGTCTACACCCTTTCTGTAAAAAAATAGTAGGTTAAAATTAATAAACTAAGTTTTTGTGACCCTGAGAATGATATCGTGAAAAACTAATGTCTTAACGATGTCGTCTATTAAAAAAAGAAAAAAAGTGCGTGTGTATGTATTTCACACATGGTACAAGTGAAACTTCAGAAAAGTAACCTACGAGAAATGAGATGAATATAATGAGAGGAGTATCAGAGGTATGAAAAATGATAGTAGGATAAAAAGAGTATCAGGAGTAGGATAATTATAAGGTTTATTTTTTAAGTTTAAAAGTTATTTTACATTTTATATACATTTTTATACATTACATTTAGTAATTAATTTTATTATTTTTTACTTCCTTGAATGTATTCTATCTCAAATAATTAAATAAGGCATATTAGGCATATACAATCATGTATTTATAGAATATCATGTACGGAAAAAATATAAAATTATATATTTGTCGGACAATAACTATTGAAATGCAGTTAATCTTTTTCTACCAGTGACATCTATTATTTTTATTTTTAAGAAGGCCACATTAAAAACTTATTTTGATAAAAACTAACAATAACAACGGTTACCATGGCAACATGGCAATGTATTCTATTTCATTTTCTCGCCGGTATTTATGTGTTTGTCTCTTTTTAGTGTTACATTTCCGTATCATTTCGTTCCATCGAGTTTCAAATCACAACGATTCTAAAGAAGTTTCACTTCAATAATAACCTTTATATTTAAATGTATGTTAGTTTGTAAGACATGCATTATGCAATCTAAATGTACATCCGATTGCGATAAAACTAAGGTGTAAAATAAATAAATACTCTTACTCTATTAAACAAATGAACAGACATACAAAATTCGGTTAAGGAAGATATCCCCCTGCAGTAGAGCGTATGGCATGGTAGTGGTCGCGGCAGAGTACCGCTGGCGCGCACAGTCCACGCGACAGTGATCGCACTCCACCGAGTCAGCCTGCTCCTGGCTTAGACTTGGGTGTACGTCGTCTCCCGGATACAGTGTTGAAAATTTGCCTATAATTTGTTTAACTCATATTTAATATTAAAAGTAGCCGTTTTTGATTATTTTTAATGAAAATAGATTTGGATTTCTTAATTGTAAGCCACTATTTTCAGTACCGTCTTTACCATAAGAGCATAAGGGGCACCTGTCCAGAGCCCCCAGCCTCACGGGGGCTCTGCAAAGACAAAATAATCGTTTTTTTTATTTCATCATTCACATTTTTTTAACTTTCTAAAGGGAACAAAAATTGATGTGTGCCCAAGGGCCCTTGTGTGGATTAAAACGGCCCTGACTGGAGTATTTTAAAAGATATTAAATCGATTGATTTCGATGAAATTTGATAGGTATAAAGGAAACAGAGATTCTGATAGCAAAGTGGACAGCAAGAGTAGCCCTATAGTTGTTGTGGTCTGCTTCGGCAGACCTGCCATCGGGGAGTCGTGGTCGAGTGCGTAAGCGATCCTGCGACGCCTCATTAATACGGGTTCTGTTGGATTTTAGTGGATAGCACTGGTTTTGCCGGTGAGACCCATACCTCGTGCCTAAATGAATTGCAAGCCAACGTTAATTTTTTTTAGTATTGTATAATAAAGGTAAATAGTGGCTGATATAATATACCTACGTCATGCTACCCATTTTGCGCTACTATTTTTACGCACGCCAGAGGTGGTCTAGCTAAAATAATAAACAGGAAACTTCAGGACAAGGAAAGGCACGTGACCTGAAACTGACTGACAACTTTCCCTAGCTTTGCTCGAGTGTGTCCCTAGTTGCCTAAAACTAGCCTACTTGTACTGTACCGTGTACACACGAAGTCTATCTGTATACTATACTTCAAGCAATCCATTATAGCGTCTTCATACTAACTTTCATATATTTATAATAGTAGTCCAATATAAATAAGTTATACAGGCCTGAATGTTTAGCCAGACAGTTGAGGTCTTCGAGCGAGCAGTGTATGTGCGTTTCGCGTTGCAGCGGAGGCAATGTATGCGGCACGCACAGACACAACGCTCGCGCCGCCTCACTGCGACACGCGCCCACACAATGTGACCACTGCCCAGGCAACTCGCCCGCACGTCTCATGCGACACCCCAGCTTTAGATATATATACAATTCTTATCATTGGTAAAAGCAGAAGAAAGCATAATTCAATGAGTTCTGATTTTAGCACTAGATAAGTTAACTATCATGTGTTTTGTTTAAAGTGATTCATATATATTATTTAGACAGATCATAATAAGTATATCCGTAAAAATGCTTTGTAAAAATATTTCATACAGTAACCTATAGCTATTACATTTAAGTTTAATGATTTTTCGATTTTTTCGAATAATTCCATCAAATAATACGGTCAAAACATAAAACGCACGCACGCACTCACTTAACACACGCATGCGCGCACACGCAAATCTCACCCATTCATCGCTGTGACGCAGCAAAGAGTCGGCGGTCCTCTCCGAGCGCGCCCGAAGACGCACGAATATTGCGGCAGAATGTGCGGCCGGCGCCACAGTCACCACGCCCGAGCGAAATAACGGGTATTCCCACCCGTCGAATATGAGCACCTAAAATAAGCACAACCTGGGATGATCAGTCCAGGACCTTTTTTTATGCCGCCCCATAGGATTACCCTTTTTTTTAATGTTGAGAAATATAACAGAGGAACGTTAAGTCCATGTCAAAAAAACTCTTGAAGGTTGCTTCACCGCAGTCACCTATTCTGTTTCTATTCGGCTATTAATAGGACGAGCCGCTAGGAAAGCTAATAAGGCCAACAGAACTACATAGTTCGAAAAAAGTTCATGTCGTCGGACATTAAGTATCGTCATACAAACATATTAAGTTTTTTCTTTATTAAAAAAGGCAATACCTATGTACCTACTGGAAATTGTATATCACTATGCTAATTATGACAAAAAACAGTAGAAACTGGCCAACTATTATGTAGTATTATGTAACATAGAAATTCTCGACGCACAAAGCCTAACCAGTAACCCGGTTACGAATTTATGATATTTTAAGATTGTTTATTTAATTCATTCATTTATTCATTCGTTCATCCATTATTGTTCAAAAATAAAATCCTCTTTAAAATTATAAAATAAATATATAAATTTAATCAACTTAAACTTACATCAAACCCATCCCGAATCCGCCGCACGTAGGTGATATCATCTGGGTTTTCTCTCACCACCACTGTGAGTCCACTGTCTTGTCCCACAAGATTCGTTTTGTGAATCGTGTTATTTCTATCCATAGGACTACAAAATATTACAATAATAATGTAAGTAGCATCTCACTCATTACTATTTATAATAATTTATGTAATTATTGGTTTTTTTTCTTATACCGCATTCAATGCTTCGATTATTTAATACTAATTTATCCTCAGTGCTTCGTTCTCGTTATAGGTACGCGTCGGTACAAAGTAAAGTTGATTTTTTTATTAATCCAAGATATATCTACTCGTAAACTATCTATATTCCAAATTTTATTCAAATCAGTTGAGCAGTTAAAACGTGAAGTAACAAGCATACACTCATTCACTAACTCAAAAACAAGAAAAAAGTTAAAGCGATGCTGCAACGTCAGGTCTACCTTACCATAACCTTGCAATGTCATTAAAGTAAAGGGATACCAAGTTTCGAATCGATTAGATCTGTTGAAGTTATTCATATCTTTTTATTATCTAGAAAGGGGCTAATAGCGTGCAAACGGGTTAACGGATTTTGTTGATCTTTAACTAAGAACACTCTCGATCACGTCACCTTTCAAACAAACAAAAAACTAAATTAGAATCCTCGGTTCTGTTCATCCGCTACGATGCCACGACAGATACACACGTTAGGCTTATAATTCTCCTTTTTTTGCGTCGTAGTTTCAAGAGCTTCGTAACTATGACTGTATTACGAGTATAACATACGCACTGGTATCTCGCATTAAAAACGCAACAGAAGCCCATATTAGTGATGCGCTTCGCAAAAATGCGATCGCAGTGTATACGTCGAGCCTGCCAGCCACAACGCACCAACATCTTCACACAATCTGGTGTTAACTGCAAGGAAATAACGTCGAGTACAGCTAATATTAATGCGGAAGTTTGTGTGTTTGTATGTGCGTGCGCGTGTTACTTACTTACACTCTATTCATTGTTAGGAATATAAAGGCTACGGTTAAGCACCCGAGTGAAGCGAGGATAATTTGTTAATACTACATACATACTAGTGACTCACCCTCGCTTGGCTTGGGTTCATCCCTAGGTTGATTCCCCATACAAACTTTCATCCCCATTTTTACCCCCTTAAGGGATGCTCTTCGAAATAAAAATACCTATCCTATGTCCTTCCCAGGGTCTCAAACTATCATCTTACCGAATTTCATCTAAATCGGTCCAATAATTTTGAATTTCGTTACAAACATACAAAAATACAAATCTTTCCTCTTTATAATATTAGTGTAGATTAATTAGCTTTTTCCCGTGGCTCTACTCACGTGTTGTGATCATAGAAAATATCCTACATTACTCTTGTTTCGATTGTTTTGTCGCCATTGAAACTAATTAAGTCAATCTTTGTGTTCTTTATCCCACGACAACCCTGAATTTCCCGCAATAAAATTTGCTAGTGTGTGTTTCGTTATAATCGGTTTAATCATTTCGGAGATTAACGGATAAATTTTTAATGGTTATTTAGGGTTGGTATCATGTAAATAACCAAATAAGCTTAATATATCGTATGCGAACATACAGGAAGCTTATCCGTTTTTATGTGATTTAACAGATTAGAATCAAAGTATGGACGTAAAACGTCATAAACGAAAATAATAAGGAATATGCGTGTGATTTAAATAAAGGTGAAATATTTTTTTTATAATCTTTATTGCTTTTGAATTAGTCTAATTTATTTTTGATAAAGAAAATAATTATTAAAAAGTGCAAATATAGGTGGGAAATTCAAAGTAGTTGAAACGCAACGCAGCCTTTAACCCCTTAGATTTCACTAGTGGACATTTACTTCTTCTCCCTGCCCATTTCCCAATTACTTGGGGTCGGCGCAGTACATCTTCTGTACTGCTGAAAGGATTTGGCAAAAGTTTTACGACCGGCCGCCTGGCTGACGTCAACCCTCCTTGGGAATGCTATTGTCTCTCTTTGTCTGAATGGTGTTGCGGAAGTCTTGTAATTATTATACACTTTCAATTTTGTTGTCTTTTAAATAATTTTTTATACTATTACATTAATTTTTAATGTTATTTTCGGATATATTTGAAAATAAATGTTGATTACACCACAAATTTTGTTTTGACGTTGTCAAAAAAAAACAAAAAAAACATTACTAGTAGACATTTACTATACGTATATAATTATATTCCTATCACCGGATTCGCTGGTATCAAATTATTGTATAATTATGTCAACTAGATTTATCGTACTCCTTACAATTTTAAATCCATACGACGATTTAGGAGTAAATAGGTTAAAATAAACTTTCAAAATTCGATTACTTTACTTAAAAACAACAATAAAAGCGTGCTGATTTCTAAGCAACGAGAATCATACTAAAAGATAAAATTAATCACTTTTGCAAGTGCAAATTAACAGATAGAAAAATAGTTATATTTTTAAAATGTTTTATTACCTTGTACAATATGTGAGTGATATTATTTACGTAGACAACTCTTTCGAGGTAGCTCAAAAATCTAAAATCGTACTCAAAATTTCCTCGAGAATGAAGCGCACCAAAAGCGAGCAAGTTTTGTTTAATAGCCTTCAAAGTGTATGTCCTGTTTCTATCGAGAGAATATCTAAAATAGTGTTATTTTTTATAATTATTGATCCATATCGCCTTTTATAATTTACTTAGCAATCTTTCATCATCGTAGAGTTGGCTTAAGTAATAGCTAGGGCGAATAATATTTGAATCGGACTACTTTTTATTATAAATGTGAAAGTTTCTTTGTGTGTATGTTTGTAGCTCTATATGCTGAAGCTGACGAATTTGGATAAAATTTAGTACTTTAAGGTAGCTAGGAATATAGTTAGGGATGTAACGTAGGGATAATAAGCTATTTATTAAATAAATTGTTAAATTAATTGAACTGTAGCTCTGTTCAGATGTATAATATTTTATTAATGACAACTAGGTAAAAGAAAATCATATAAGCATGCAGAATTGGGCGCATTTGAATTTATGCATATCATTTAAATAATGTTATAATTAGCTAGGGCCATTACAGGGAAAGGTTTCATTAAAATCTATTCAGTAGGTAGTTCTAGTGTGATAATATTACAGACACATACAGATAATAATATAAGCTTTAAATTAACTTTTTAAGAATTTCTCTATTCTCTCCTCTCAACTCTTTGAAGACAATTATAAAACAAAATTTATATTAAATCATTGTACATTGCACAGAAACAATTATTTACTTATAGCTAATCTATCCTATATATAAATAAAAATGGTTCGTATGTTTGTCCTCTATGCGTTCCTAAATCATTGATCCGATGCTGATGAAACTGGCGGATTCGAACCTGTGTCCTATATACGCCTGCGAAGATGCATGCCGTAAAATAAAATAAATCTTTGATCGTTTGTTTTCTATGCATTCCTAAGCCATTCAAGCTGAGGGATGATACCTAGATTATAATAAAAAATCTTACAATAATTGAGCGTATTCATTAAGTGCAGAGCGACTTATTAAATTGTAACTGCAAATGGCAATTGCGGGGAAGTCGATGTGCTGGGCCGGATGCTGCAAAGGCAATGTGGTCATCGTGAGAGGCGGTATACTCCAAAACCACATAATATTATAGACCATTATCGCTAGCCCGCAAGTCATCGACACCACAAGTACGGTCAGGTAGCACCATCTAAACAAATTATATATTTTGTATTTGTAATATCGACCGAATTACGATCACGACTTGTAATCACAGTGAGATTAGGTACCTAATTCTCTTGATTCCTTTCTTCTATAGAAATCCTCTTGTTTAGAATGCCTTATTAAAACTTATAAATTAAAAAATGTATTTATTTTAATGTTAATTATATAATCATACAGTCTTAGTATGTATAGTATAGTAGGTATATTATATGTCATAAAAAGTAATAAATAATTGTATATTATTACTACATATCTGTCTCTCTTTTAGAATGCGATAAACTCAAAAACTACTAAACGGATTTTTATACGGTTTTCACCAATAAACGGAGTGTTTCATAAAGAAGTTTCAGGTATAATTAACGATTAATGTAAATTGGCTAAAATATTATAATATAGATTGTTGAAAATCCGAGCTTTGGCGTGCGCCGGGTAAGCCAATAAAGTTAAATTAAAACAATGTATTCCTGAATTATTCCTCTTAAAAAGATCGAAGATTACCTAAGGAATCATATTAGTACCTAAGGAATTACTCGAGCAAAGCGAAGGTAAATCGCTTGTCTACGCCAAAAATTCCAAAATTTCCTCAATTAAATTTTCCACAGAAAACAAAAACAAAGAATAGGTACCTCAAAGGCTTCGGGTTACTTTTATCCATTGTAAACGCGACGCCTTCAACAGAACAATTTCTGCAGAACTCCAACATCGCATCACGGAAGCTCTTTCTTAATCTAACTTCAAAACGAGACGCCCCCTTAATCCCAAATCTTAAAGGTCGTGATACATTTAAGGGTGGTTTCCTTACTTTCTGATACCACAAGTCTGGATCGACAGTCCGCATTATTGGGAGTTAAATATACAATTGACTAAACTTTGCCATGTTCGTGACAAATGCAATTTATATGGCGATTGAATTATTAATTCGAGGGCGAGGTTTTATGAACACTGATATAAAAAACAGATAGAAATAATAATTTTGCTTAAGTACACATTGTTATTATAAACTAGATATTATTAAGAGCGAAAATGTCCCATTTTTATACATAAGGAAAGCTGAGGTTTAGTTTTTCTAACATGCTAATGTAAGATGTAATAATGAGTTCACCTATGAAGTCAATCCATTATGGTATCTACAGTCTATGGAGGTGGTCCTTGATTCATTATATTTTTATTATAACTATCGTTGAAATAAAAACGAATGTCGCAAAGAGTTTATTTAATATATAAAAATCACGTGTCACGGTGTTTGTGGTCGCATTCCTCCGAAACGAAGTAAAGAAATAAAATGTTAAAAATATAATAAAATATAATACTTTCTTAGGTTTTACGCCAATATTTGATATTTAAAAAAAATTATCTTTTCAAAAAATTTCGCGGATAATTTTGATTTTTGGTCTCTGACGTTTCGAATGCTTTATCATTGTCACGGGAGATTAAAGCTTTAGACATCTCAAAAATCATTTATATACTGTAGGTAAAATGAAAAAATCCGAAACAAGATTCATTTAAAATACCTAAACCATGAATAAGGCACGCTAATATTTTAAATGTGAAAGTAACTCAATCTCTCTATCCGTTACTTTCTCACGCTTAAACAGTTGAACAAATTTCGATGAAATGTACCAAATCTCCGAAACGGCTGGGCCGATTTTGACGGGACTTTCACTGGCAGATAGTTAAGGTTATAAGGAGTAACTTAGGATACTTTTATTTCAGTAAAAGAATTAGGGTTACGCTCAAAAAAATAAAATATACCCAGGTACGAACCCGAGCGAAGCGACTGCGAGTCCCTAGTGAATAAATAATGGGCAAAGGCTACTTTTAATCTGCACCCCGATTTTCATGCGAGCGATGCCGCGGGTAAAGACTAGTTTATTAACAAATAAAACACTATGTTCTTGTGGTAACTCTTAATTTCAACATTTATTTCGATTTTGGTTTACATTTAAGTCTAAAGAGCTGTTCATACATAATTATGTAAATACCTCTATATTTTATATAAATACAAGAATATAGTCATATAATAATATTATAATATTCAAAATATCAATTGATTTATAATTTTAAATTGAAAAATAAATTGAATAATAGTTATATATACAAAATATCTTTTATCTTGGAAATTATTATTGAACATTGAGACAAAATAAATATATAGTTATGTAGAGTCAACACATGTTTCTTACGTCATAAAGTTAATACAAGAACGCATAGCACTTTAAGATGCTAATAGAAGTTCATTTGCACTGATGGTTTAAGGTAAGTTAAATAACTTCAGAATTAAATGTTACGTTTCCAGACCTTTAGGAAGGTCTTGACTGGTCTTTTTCAGAGTTAAATAATCTTTCACTTTAAAATATATAATAAAAATATTTTAAAATCATTTAAGCACTGGTTTATCACCGTATATTTCTTTAAAATTATGTATCTATAGTATTTTTTTTATTTAAATATCTTCTTACCAAAAAGGTCTACCTGCACAATTTAAAATTTCCTTTTTAATTATTCCTTTCAAAGGAAATATTAAACAAAAAAAAATTGAAAATTTAAAAGATACTTATACAGATATATAAAGATAAATTGTATTTTTGTAATGTCAAAATAACAGCTTTTTACTAAATGCATATGAAGTTATATACGGTACAAGATATACACGATTTTTAAAATTTTACAGACAGGCAGACAGCTCATGTTATAAGGAGTAACTTAGGCTACTATTATTTTAGAAAAAGAATTAGGTTTCCGCTCAAAAAAATTAAAACGTTTCTTTCAAATTACAAAATAGACTAGGGTGTTGAGGATATGACCACAATAGACGGGAAAAGGCCGAATTGATACTTATATCTGCAATATGAAAACAATAAATGGGTCGAGAATGCAATAGAAATATGTCGACTTTGGAATAAATAGATACATATTACAATATATATGTACAATGTACATACCATACTGTGATGATTACTTTAACTTAACTTTTTTAGAATCGGTTAAAAACAAAACAGTTAACATTTACGACGTAAGAATTGTAAAGACAGTATAATTCTACCAATACTGATTAGGTATCACTAAGACGTACTTAGATTTGAACTTATTGACTGGCTTCCATTGGATGAAAGCCGATATTTCAGTTACTTAAAACTAGTGCACCTTTGGCGTCAGGGAACTAACAATAAATAAAATCAACAATTTGCTTACAAACAAATACTAACTTAATAGTTTAATAAAACAATAGCAAAATCTATTTTGTAAAAGTGTCAAGGAGTTTCATATTCTAAATGGATTTTAATCGTGTATCATTTTTTATAAGAGTTCTAAGGTTAGGATACCAAAATAGTACCAAAATGTACCAAACGTACCAATAGTACCAAATGAGTTTTTCATTCAGTAAACAATTTTGATAGCTACTTATGAAATCTTGAAAATATTAATCATCAAATGTTTTTTAGAACCACCTCTACATAATTTGTAAATTTTAGGCATTCCTCTGTGAGCTTAATCTTTATAGTATTTAATAATTATAATACCTTTCTTCAAAACATATAGGTAACAGCAAAAATATTTAAATTTGAGTTTTCGAAGACTAAATTAGCAAAAATATCTCCTTAATTTACTTAATTAGGCCGCAAATAACAAGAAATTAGTACATTGAACTAACCCCGAAATGGGCAATAAATAACATTTTCCAATAAATCTACAGTATATAAAGCTTGTGCTTGCAAACGCCATACTCCTAGTAATCATGATTAAATCCTGACCCCTCGACTCTTTAAACAGTAGAGCAAGTAGGGTAGCTTTGTATAAGTAAAGACATAGGCGATGGTCGTCAATCAGTGGGTGAGATCAGACTAGCGCAGGTGGAGCGGCGCGGCGGGGCGCGGGTCACAGGTACGCTACAAACAGCAACATGGACAGCAGTAGAAGAGATATTTCACCTACACTTAAACGAGATGACTTCGACAGTATACCCTTCCCTGAAAAATCAATTTACATATAATTTATTAACATTTTTTAATAATATTACCTAAAGTATACCTAGCGTTTCTAAACTAGCTAAAAACTGCTAGGTAGCTATTCTATAGAAACTTTCACGTAACACGACAGCTGAATCCACGCTTAAACTTCATACATCGATCAAAAAGTACTTTTTTGGTCGATGACTTCATACAACTCTGAGAAGTACGTTCGCGGATTCCGCTATCGAGTTGCGTAAAAGTTTTTAGAGAATATACCTACTTTAAAGCAAATCTAGCAAGACAATAAGCAAAACCTTTATGACGTCACGTTATCTATTAATACTTTGAATATTTTCGCAGGTCACATCGCGATCGTACCTAATGGACTGCTGATGAAGACTCTGGCGTTGCGAGGTGTCGCGACACTCCAGTCACCTCGTGACCAAGACATGTTCAACCCTGTCGAGACGTCGGGTGAGAATAAAAAAGAATCATATGATCGCGAAATGACCCATGAAAATATTGAGATTGTAATAAATTCTAGCACTGCTTCAAAATGAACGACACCGCAATAAAACGTTTAATAAATACGTACATATTGATATAAAAAAGGCTTTATCTGTAAAAACATAATAAGTCCTATTTCTATAGTATCAATACAAAAAGATCATTGTATTTTTCTTATTATAATACTTACATCGTTCAGCAAGTTTTTTATAGCAGCAACAATCACGAAGCCTGACGTATCTCACGCAATCATGAGCGAGGGGTCGACATCGATGTGGCCCCACGTAGCAAGTATGTGGTAGCCAGGGAAAGGGCTCAGGGAGGTAATGACGTTCACAGCAGCAGTGGTCAGCAAGGACCCGTGTTTCACAGTATTCCATCTCGCGGCGAGAACACGTGCCGCATCCAGGTGGAGAATCTGGAACTATAGAGGAAATTGTATCAATATATATGACTTACAAGTATGGCGACTGTACTGAGAAATGGCGACGACTGTGGTATTGTAGCTTCCTGTTTGACAGACAACGACATTATTAAATTCTGTCGTTGTTAAATATTTTTACTAACCACATAATTAAATATAGCAAGGGCTACCACCAGGATGTATTATGATAAAATTGGCGAAAAAGTTGTTGGTTCACCCAATAATATGATAAATAACTGAGACTGCTGGTTCTATAAATATTTATAAACTCTAACTTAAACTAAGTTAACAATAGAATCAACACAATTATCATTAACATGTAAAACCATATCGACCTTGTCAACGACACGTTTGGCTCAGTTTGTAGTGATCCTACTTGCTGTGCCAGCGGTCGCGGGTTTGAGTCCCGCTGAGGCATTCATTTTGTGTGATGAGCACGAATGTTTATACTCCAGTCATGGGTATTTATATTTATAACATGTACTTATGTATTTAAAATGTATATATGTGTAGTGTATCAACTATCTGGTATTCATAACACAGGCCTCGTAGCTTACATGGAAATAGATAGTGCTGTGTGTTAATGTCCCAACTAATTTATTATTATTATTATTTATTATATACTTCAAAAACTCTGGATTTTTCAAGGTATAAGAAGAGTTAGCTCAATTTTGTATTCCCATCACTCCCGGACGCAACGACATCACCATCGCATTCTAATGACATAAGAATGGCATATCGCGTTGTGTAACTAGCGTCACTTGAACAATAGCAGGTGTCTGGTCGATTCTTACAAGCAGAATTAAATTTGAAATTTGGCAACCGTTGATATCATTTGAAGTTATTATTATGCAGAGCATGCCTCTAATTTTAGGCTATAAGTAAACGTTGAACTGTAGTTTTTAGCAGTTAATGGAGATCTAAATTGAGACGAATATGTTTATGGTACTTTTGCTTTATTGGACTGTACCTGCTTATTTTTGTGCTGATAAAAGATTAGGAAGCCATTTTACCAACTTATAAAAATAAGTATTAAAAAACGGATTTAATAACAGAAATTCTCTTCATGAATGACGACAACAATTAAGAATTATTGAAGTTTACTAAAAACAATGTAAATCCGTGTCACTCATGCTGTATACTTTATAATATAGAGAAAAAACGTTTCATTTTGTTATTTTGTTGGTTTTTAAGGTTTTGATTGCAATCTTCAACATGCAGTCGCACGCACACATGTCAAGTGCAAGAGCACTAAATATTGATTACTTATTACGTACTAGCAGAACCAGCGGCCTCGTTCGCGCTAAAACAACAAAAAAATCTCCAAAAAGGTAGTTTCTTACAAACTTTCATCCCTTAAAGGATGAATTTCGAAAAATGCTAAAACACGTATTTATTTAATTTTATTGAAGAACATTAATACCAGTGAAAGTTTCAAGTAATTCTATTCATAAATATTTTTTTGGATTGCATTATAACGTGTTTTCCCGTGGGAATTAGATGATTTCCCGCGGTAAAAAGCGTATAGCTTATGTCACTCTCTAGCCCTCCAACTATCTCCACACAAAAGAATACGCCAATCCATCACTCCGTTTCGAAGTTAAAGGGCAGGCAAACAAACAAACAAACACACTCGCATTTATAATATTAGTATGGATTACATATTTTATTCTGTAGCTATCAAAACCTATCGAAACCCTTTACGTATAGAAATAAACACATATTTAAAAAAAAATGACACATATATTATAGTGCAACTTATAACTGCGAATGATATACCTGTTAAAGAACTTGAAATATTTAGTTTTTATTTAATTTTATTAATATTTTTACAGTATTTTTTCAAGTTCACTTGGAAAAATTATTATTAGCAATATAAAAACAGCAAAAAAATTCACTGTAACAGTCACAAATTGAAGGCTGCGCGATTTCTAGCAAAAAGTAGAGTCACTCGTGCGTGCGTTTAGGAAATGTACTTGCTAAAAGGTGTATCAATGGACGATGACTTTGAAATGGATTAGATGTAAAATATATTTTTATTGTTATAATACCTGCTGTTTACTGTTTACATTCGAGTATATGGCATGCCATATAACAAATAAGTGAATAAACTAGGTTGACTTATTAACTTTAAAATAAATTAATTTTTCACTTTAGCCTATTAATTATATCTATAAGCTGAAAATCTTTTCTGTGTTCCCCATAACTTAAAAAAATATATCAAACGAACGTATAAAAACCTCATTACAATTTAAATATGTATACATATAAATTCACGCTACTTCCTTTGCGGGGAAGACAGAGCGAGCTACCTACATGATTCACTTCATTATCACTTTACACTGAACTTGGGTCGACATGTGTGTCGTTTTAATGTCCCATTGTCATTTTAATCTATATATTTTTTTATATTTTTTTGTACAAAACTACAAATCTTCGATAGCTCTACATAAATTGTTTAGAAATTAAGATACTTATAATTGTTATACATGGAACCTCTCTGATGGCACCACTAAATGTCATGGATTGCCATGAAAATGGGCAATCATGAGTTATTAAGTATGGAAAATATTTGTTACTTTTAACTGTTAAAAAAATAATTATTACTTTTAACTTTCTAAACTATTTTAAGGCTGTTTCTTCATGTGTGCATTTTATTACCTTTTTAATGTATTTTTAACCCCCGACGCAAAAAGAGGGGTGCTATAAGTTTGACGTCGATGTCTGCCTGTCTGTGTGTGTGTGTGTCTGTCTATCTGTGGCATCGTAGCTCTCAAACGAATGGACCGATTTCATTGCGGTTTTTTTTGGTGGTGGCGGTGGTTCTTAGCCATGTTTGGTTAATACCGGTCTAGCAGTGTAAGAGTATCAGCGCTTTTCTAAAATGATGTAAGGCATTTTGTCGTATGATTACTCGATTAAGTGTTTCACGCGTCTCTTTGCGTAGGGGTTTTTTAAATTTTTATTTATAATTATTTATAAAAGGATTGAGATGAGATGATGATGAAATAATCATTAAAATTGAATCATTCTAGTTCAAAAATACAGCTAATATATACTTACCTTTGTTTAATCGATAGAGTGTTAGAGTAGTACGACAACAATGTAATATCCGCAGCAAAAATATTGATATTTGTTTGTTTCCCTTTTACAATCTATACATATAATAAAATTCGAACTGAATCGAATCTGTACATTAAATATATAGTTGATTATCCGGTTATCTATATATATAGAATACTTTACTAACCGTCAAAACGTACCTCGGGACGACCCCGAACGGAACGAGAGTGAGTCGCTAGTTTATATTTTAATCAACAAGGAACTGGAAAACGTTTCATTAAATATTATATTTTTTTAAATTACATTTGAAGTAAAATTAAAAAAGTAAGTAACGTATGTCATTTGTTGATTATAATCAAACAATAGTGTGACGTCCTCAGTGACAAACACACCGCCACGCCCCGTGACCTTCAGCTCTGTTTGGATCAAACCTTATAATTTGCAAGCAACAGCCACCACCAATTACGACCCTCGAAAATTAATAGGTAGGTATATTCGCATGATTATTACAGAAAATTCTTATCATATACGACGTATGCTAGAAAACAACAGTAGTTGTAAAAATATGGTTTTTCTTTGTTAATTTTAATTGTTAATTATAAAATATTTAACAGAATAAATTTCAAAGTCATTTATCCAAATTATAATAAGTAAATAATATTCATACTTTTTATGTTAATTAAATTTTGAAATACGTATAAATAAAAAAAAGCAATTAACAAGCACTGCGTCAATAGCAAAATAAGCGAAGTAAATCCATTTTCTACAGATTTATTACAACAGCTTTATAAATATATATAATATGTATTAAATTTATTTTGCCACTTTAAATTATGTTAATGTTTTTTTAATAAATTATATAAGCGTGTTTTTTCATAGCCAACGTATGATAATAGTTAACATATATTAGCTATCTACACCTAATGTTTTATTTTTTTACACATTTGACTTGGTTTGTAGTGAGCCTACTTGCTGTGCCAGCGGTCGCGGGTTTGGAACCCGCGGGGGGCATCCATTTGTGTGATGAGCACGAATGTTTGTACTCCAGTCATGGGTGTTTATATTTATAATATATATGTACCTATTTAAATGTTATATATTTGTAGTGTATCAACTATCTAATATCCATAACGCAAGACTTGTAGCTTACCATGGAACTAGATGGTGCTGTGTGTAAAAAAATATATCAGAAATATGCTAATATTACGACCAAAACAAATACAGTATTTTTATTTAACAGTATCGGAGATAATTTTTATTATAACAAAAACTTATAAACATAGCTTATGATTATCCTCAACCTCCTTCAAATGTCCTAGACGTTAGCAAAAACTTTATCAAAACCTCTTTAATACACTGACTTATATGAGAATAGAATTTTATAAATCAAGAAATTACCACATCTCTTAACTTACAAATATACATAACAAGATTATTCTTTATTTTATTTTAGTCCTCATTTTAAGTCGAAAGTCTGATTTCTAAAAACAACGTCTCTACATTTGCAAACGGAAGCATTCCGTTACTTTCACAATGCACTTCGTTCAGCTCCTCGAGTCCTCACTATGCACTTTGTTGAATATTAAACAAAAGACTCACGTGAAGAATTTAATCCCCAATGAATATTTTAAAAAGATTTTTTTTTCCATAACTCGATATGCTTGGAATATGGATTTAACCAAACCCGCCCGCACCCTGACATTGTTTATACTACTTAATTTTTTACTTCAACACTTAATCTGAACTACCAATAACAATATATATGTACATTGTACAATGTAAGTACATAGAAAAGTCAGTAATACTCATAACATAGTCCAATAATTTTTATAATATTTTCATGTACTATAATTGTGTTTGTAGTATACCCCTTTTGTCCCTAGGTTTTCTAGGGGCGAACAAATTTTTATCCCCATTTTCACCACTTTAAGGGATGA